TCAAACGCTCGTCTCGGAGTTCGACATCCGAATTAATACTGGGGCACCGAATAACCGCATGCAAGAGGCAGGAAAACCGCTGATCCAGCTGAAGGAGACTCTGGACCGATTGACGAAGAAGCTGGGCTCGGGGGGTACTTCCACCCGTTTCACTTGGCCGCTGTGGGGGAAGGAAGAAGTTCGACAGGGATTGGACGTCATTGAACGGTTCAAGAGCTCACTCAGTTTATGGCTCGGGATGGATATCCGGTCTGTTATCCCCACCTGACCTCTGGTTCTGTTCTTATTCCAAGCAGGGATTGTACGCAAGGCAGGCTCCCGATGGACTGCCGCACATTATTTCTAACTCTCGGCCAATCCAGATATCGCAGTTGCCGTAGAAGACATCTTGGAAGAGCAGCGAGCAAACGATGGCTGTAAGGTGACTTCACAATGAATTGGAACGAGGCTCATATGTCGCTAAATCAGATGTAATGAGCTCAGTCAATCGTCTCGGGCAAGATCAACAGGAAATCCACGAACGTGAGTTTCTCCGTGGTAGCACTGTCCTTTTCTCGTTAAATCTTTGAGCCAGAGACAATATCCACTCTCAAGGACGGCGATGAGGAGCACCGAGTTGCTCATAACTGTAATGATTTCCGATAAAAATATCTGCGGTCTTATAACACAGGTGTAGATATCGCCAAGACTGCACGGGATATTGCACGAGCTCAAGAGTACGATCGTGACGGTGTGTGGCCGGGAAAGAATGCGGAATTGCTTCATTCATATTGATCTCCGTAGCTCGAAAGCGCAAGGCAATTATAGAGTGGTATTCACCCCTGAATTTCTTCCCACGCCAGGAAGATATATTCAAGGTGTGCCAACCAGGGACGTGTGAATTGATTCTCAAAGATGCTCGATTCGACACATGGAAGCGGGGCACAGGGAAAACGTTGTGGTGTCGCGGAATACGTGCGTGTACCCCGATACCTGTGGCAAATTGGCTGAAAGTATAAACACACAGCTGGGGCCGGAAAGACCGTATTCGTGTGCGTAGTTTAACGTTGAATTCGAGCAGGACCTAAGCAAGAAAACAATGTACAGGTCAATTGTCGTCGATCATCTCCGAAAAGATCTGGATCACGACGCCGTTGGTGTTGCAGCCGTTTACCTGAATCACAAGGAGGCCGATGCGAGTCCTTCAATCCTTCTGGCCAGCCTCTGGCGACAATTAGTCTTTGGGAAGCCCATCCCATTGAACTTACACAAGTTATACGCAAAGCATCGGGAGCCCGGAACCAGGCCGTCCTTGGATGACGATCATGCGGTGCTCCGTTCGATAATCTCCGGCTACTCCCAAGTTTTCATTCTGGTTGATGCGCTGGATGAATACCCCGAGAGAGATCGGAGTATTCTACTCCGCCGGCTGTGCGCATTGGGACCAACTGTCAGCTTGATGTTTACCTCGCGGCCTCACATCCACATCGCAGATATCTTTCCGAATTCAGAAACGCTTGAAATCCGGGCGACGGAGGATGACATCCGGCTATTCATAGATGCACAAATTCCTCGATCCCCTCGCCTTTCAAGACACATCACAAGTCGTCCAGCCCTGCGAGACGAGATTTGCAGTGGAATTGCTCAGCGTAGTGACGGGATGTGCGTATTCTCTCCCGGAGCCCTCCTCGAACCCTCAACTGTCCTAAAACACACCAGGTTTCTCCTTGCGAGGTTCCATCTCGATTCTCTGACAGAACTGAACACTATCAAAGCTGTTCGTCAAGCCTTGAACCATCTGCCCGTTGATTTGGACAGCACATACGACGATATAACTGACCGAATTAATCGGCAAAAGGAGAGCGACAAAAAGCTCGCCTGGCTTGCTCTCTCATGGATTATCCATGCCAAGAGACCATTGCGCCCGTCTGAGCTTATAGAAGCTCTCGCTGTTGAACCGGACACCACCACACTTGACCCTGATAACATATTGGAGATGGACATCATTCTGTTTGTCTGCACAGGCCTGCTCATTGTTACCGGGAAGGATAACATAGTTCGCCTCGCCCATTACACCACACAAGGCTACCTGGAGCGTGTACAAGCACGAGAATTCCTTGACGCGGCAACGGATATCACGAGAACGTGTATCACATTCCTCTCCTTCGACGTCTTTGTGCAGGAGCAGGATGTCAGATCACGTCGCGACCTCGACAGCCCACACCAACACCCGTTCTTGGGTTATGCTGTGCAGTACACTCTTATACATGCGCGCGGCCGGCCAGAATCAGAAATCAGTCCCTTGATTCTCTCGTTCCTGACAAATAATCTCTCATGGAGGCGCCGGTTTCGCCTGCGCCATTGCTTTGGAACTTTCAACTTGTTCCCACCTATGTCGGCGCCACCCCTGTGGGTGGCCGCATGGTTCGGCTTGAGCGAACTCTGTCGGCTAATAATACAGGAACAGGGCGCTGGAACTGTGCTCCAAGAGGCTGTGTCTCAACACCACTCCAATGCTGTTCGAGTTCTTCTCGAAGCTGGTGTTGACGTCAACGCAAAAGAAGAACAATATGGCACTGCCATGTACCAGGCCTTGAAGGTGAACGAGTGCGAGGCGATGAAGTGGCTCGTCGAGCACGGTGCTGATGTCAACACGAAGGGGGGTAAACATGGGACGGCTCTGCACCTCATCTCATACATGGGAAGATATGAAGAAGCCCGTGCTCTCCTTGCCCATGGTGCCCACATTAATGCGCTAGATTCATCTGGCAACCCCGCACTCCACTCGGCTCTAATTCGAGGCCGCCATACGGTCGCTCGTCTTCTCATCGATCACGGTGCTGTTGTTGATGCAAAACAGTTCGAAGAACCTCTGCGCTCCCTCGCGGGAGGAGGTTGGCATGTCGCCTCCGTCCTCTTTCTCCTTGAGCATGGTGTCGACGTCAATGCGGCGGACAAGTATGGCTGCACCGCGCTGCATCGTAGCGTCTTATACCACAATCCCAACCACATCGAGCTTGCTCGGCTTCTCATCGAGCATGGAGCGGACGTAAATGCGGGTTCAGAGCTGCATGGGACCCCCCTGATTATAGCATCTAGGAGAAACCATATTGGAGTGGCCCGTTTTCTCATTGAACGCGGTGCGTCGGTCAATGCGGTGGGAGGAAAACCCTACGAGTCTGCCGCATCTGGACTCAGCGATTTCATGATCCCCATTGACCAGTTGAATCAACACGGAGGATGCACTGCCCTCTACGAGGCTTCACGCTGGGGCCATACGGAGATAGTTCGTCTGCTCCTTGACCACGGCGCAGATGTTAATGCGCAGGCTGGACACGGAACAGCGCTTGGGGCGGCAGTGACATTCAGAGGGCATGAACATATAAGAGCTGTTAGGTGGCTCATCGAACATGATGCTGATGTCGATGCGAAAGCGGACGTCTATGGCATGACCCCGCTGGCCCTAGCATCACGGGCCGGAAACATGTGGGCTGTCCAACTGCTTATCGAGCACGGCGCAAAGGTCAATGTGGAAGGAGAAAGCTGGGGCAGCGTCCTGTGTGCAGTGGCCTCTGCACCGGACTTTACCACCTCTGAGCCCGTCGCTCATTTTCTCATCAAACACGGTGCCGATCCCAAAGGCCCCGGAACATATGGGCTGACGCTTCTCGGCGTGGCCGCTGCGCATGGACGGATTGATCTGGTCCGTCTACTGCTACAGCACGGGGCAGAGGTCAATGCAATATCGAAATCAAACTACACAGCGTTGCAGGCTGCCATATTGCACATCAAATCCGAGTCCAATGCAATGAAGATGGCGGAGCTTCTCATCCAGAGCGGAGCTGACATAAATGCGGATGGCGGCAAACATGGGACTGTTCTTCGAATAGCCTTGGAAAGGGGGACCACGGAGATCATCAAAATTCTGCGTGAGAATGGAGCCACGACGACTGACGCAGATACGGCTGTCGATCCCGCAGTGTTCGAAGCGGCCAGGGAGAGGTGGAAAGAGCCTGGACCTCGTGTGCCGCCATGTCGTGGGGCCGCTATAGTGGTGCGGGGTAATTGAGTCGAGTTCCTGTTTGTAAGATACCTTCACTTCGCTCCGGCAGATAAGAACTGTTTCAGTTGCAATCGGGCAAAAATAATTCGCCGCGCCAAGTTGGCGCGGCCGTGACGCGGCGGTGCTGCGGCAGTGAATCGGCGGTTCAAATTTTAATGAGCGCCGTCCCGCATGTTATAGCGTCCGTCACCCCCGCCATAATTGCACAGGGCGTACACACGAACTGTAGTCGTGGACGATGGCAAAGGAATAGGTGCAAATAGGTAGAGTTATTATTAATAAAGCATTCAAAATCACTGTGTTTATGAACCACAACACAAGCCTTGAACCGAGGAAGTTTGTCAAACTCAACCGTGGGAACTCAAAGTAGTGACGGAAAAACTGAGTTTGCTATTGAAAAGCCCCTTGGTATTTCACATCACCCGGCAGTGGTTCAGCAAGGTCATTACTATACTGCTGCACTTGTTGAAAGCAAAATCCCATACAAGTCAATTGAAAATCGAAACAGCGTACTTTGCGTGTCGGGCTTGCAAGACTCGTTTGAATTCTAAATCCCGAAAAAGTCGCAAATAAGTCTGGATGAACATGACAACAGGGTAAACAATCCTACATCGAGACTGTGCGCTGTCATTTACATATATAGGCTTCTTTGTATCCGCACTGTAAAGTCCGAATTTGAGGATCTGTGCCATTCCAATATCTACCACCATTGAACCTTCAACGTAGAGTACAAGTTAATCCCAGTGCTTATTGCGTAGTACCGGGCTGAACGTCGTTTGCCATCGGCCAGCCAGAATTACCCGTGCAAAGCTTAATTTGTGGCGACAAAGAACAAGAGGAAAAATTAGAAAGTCCACACTTGAGATTCGGCACTCTATCGTAGAACAAGAAAAAAAAACACGCACGAAAAAAAATGGAAACAACTGAACCCTTCAAACATTATGCAACACATCAAACCTTCAGACAGAGGGAGTCGAACCCTCAGCTACCTCATACGTCTTATGCTCATAGTAGCTGGGGCTGTAGTGCTACCGTTGCACGATGTCTGAGTGCTTTTTTTTCTCTTCCTTAGCTGCAGTGTCGACGCGGATCACTGAGGTACAGAATCAAAAAAAGGGAATTCGGTGAAACGAGGACGAAGCAGTCACGGGGAGTCCAACCCCTGAACTTTGTCGCATAGAATTCCAGGATCCAAAGTAGGTTACACCGTGTCTGAGCTGTCGAGTTGTCAACTGGGTTGTAGAGGTGAGACCCTTGATGATTTTTTTGTGTCCCAGCTTGGTCCCAGCAGTTGGTTCAGTGGAGATTGGCCGTGGGCAGAAGTCTTGATGACGGTGAGGAGACTTGACCGGAATTAACCGGCGCGGCGATCACAATCGTAATGGCACCGGGCGTGCGGGCCGAAGCGCTTCCTTCTTCTCTCCGACAGTACCGGTCAACGCAATGATTCGAGGTGCTTTCTGAGTGTACAGCAACGCATATGTACCGTGGCGGTTGGCTCGGCAGATAAGACGGTCCATGCAGGAGTCAACTCACCGCTTGGTACGTTCCCCGCGATTTTTCTCAAATTTTCGCGTCGTGCCCTTGCCAACAATTCCTTTATTCTCCCTCGCCTGCTTGTCTTTCCCTCTGTCTCATCTACTGACCTATTTTTATTTTTTAAATTCAGGCGCGCGATCGCAGGCAAGCGAAGAGTATCCTGCCTGTACTAATTAGGGAGACGCAATTCCGGAACAGAAAGGAGGGGATTTGGACGGTACGTGCCATTTTCGATTCCAACTCGCATCCCACACAAATATGCTTACAGAAACCACCCGCGCCCGCGCGCTCGTCGTCCGTTCGAGCTTCTTCTCCGACTCAATTCAAATTCAAGCAAATAATACTTTGCTCTCGAGCCCGCGTCCTTCGCCACCCTCATCCACGTGCTCCCACGCCCGCCCATGACCACTGAGAGCACGGAGTTCGCAACTCCGTGCTCTTGCGCCCAACTTCGAATATCAATTTTGGCTCCGGCTCCGACAGCTCAGCGACAATGCGGATGGCTACGGGTACGGGCACGGGAGCGGGAAGGGGGACCGGCACGGGCATGAGCACAGGATAGGTGTCATGGGCTTCCGGTTCCCAGCCTGCATGCGCAAGCCGAGGAAGAGGCGCGCGCATTCACTTTAGGGTTCTGTTTATAAGTCCGGTTAATAAACATGTTTTTAAACACCGGTTTATAAACCCGGTTTATAATGGTTGGCCAAAAAGGACCGGTTTTTAATTCACACAGCCACAGGGCGGTGATCTCCAGAAGGTTGGTGGTATGCCGGCCGGGTGTGAAATTGGGGTGAACAGCGCCGACCTAGCACACCGTGCTTGTTCTCGGCACCTGGTGCAACATTGTTACATCGCTTGACTCGCATCGGGACGGCGTGGACATTACAGTTCCATTTTTCGAGATTTACTTAGTAGCGGACAAGGCAAGGGACAAGGCCATCCCGGGTGCGGATCAGATTCGAAGTCTCGGTAAGTGGTCGCAGAGGAGTGCGGGAGCCGTAGAAGGGGGCAACAAAGGCTCACGGAGGAAGTGGTCGGAGGGGGAAGTCGAAAACTCGGATTTTAGCCGATTTTAGGGGCGGTGTTTATAAACATGTTTATAAACGGCCTGTTTGTAAACCAAAAATTATAAACTGTTTATAATTGCCCCGGGAATTATAAACAGAACCCTAATTCACTTGGCGACTCCGTGATAGTGATGGTGGTGGTGGTGGGAAGGGAGTGGGTTGCGAGTGGGATATGGGGAAGACGAGTAATGAGAGGAAGATCGGTGAGTGCGTGTTCGTCCTCCTCCCCCCTCTTCATATACTGCTGTAAAATGTATGTACTGACCTTGTGCGGAAGCAGCTGCGAGCGCGGGGAAGGAGGAGCGGTACCCGCTCGATGGCATGTATATCGATGAGCGCCGCCTGCCCACACTACAAGTCATGCACCCGGCAGGCTGCTGGCGCCTCGAGCGCGAAGAGATCCCCACCGCGCCCCTGGACGAGATGGAGCGCATCCGCGATGAGACGCACGTTGGCCGCTTGTGCGCGCAGCGGGCGTCGACAGGCAGAGGGAGCGGGTGTGTATGCTGAGGACGGCGCGGAGTATTTTGGTGAGTTCCTTCTTCCTCTTTGTGTATCTCTTTTCGTCGCTCTACGCTGCTTCTACAGTGCGCGTCGAGTCCCCGCCTACGGAGAGGGTGGCAGCCCGACCACCGGGTCCCCGCGCGGAGAGGGTCGGTGTCGCAGCGTGCGCGGGCTCATTCCCGCGCGAGGGGTCTCAGCATTCCATCTGCGCGCGCGTTGAGCCTGCGCTCGTGCATTCCTGAGCCGTGCCCCGCTGCCCTCTCCCCCCTCCTTTCCTCCCAACGCTTCCCTCTACGCGCACGCATACTGACCGACTTGCCCGCACAGAAATACGACGACAGTCACCCGACACTCACGCCGCGGTCAAACTCGCTTCAGCCTCATCGCCTCAACGCCAACACCACCACCCTCGCTGGATCAAGTCCCGCCGGATTCGGGGGTTAGTATCGGAGAAAGAGAGCATCCTAGGTACGTAGCGTACACTTATCGTGCTGCTGCGCGTGCTTACGATTGCGACCCACGTTGGCAGTGCGAGATCCGTCAACTCCGCGCCGCCGCCGCCCGCAATCCCCGGCGCTGCCAACTCGAGCCTCGCGCCCGGGTCCTTCTCTCTCTGCCCCCGCACCCCCCATACTTCAATCCATCCACATCACTGTTCCCACTCCCTTCGCTCACCCTCACCCGCGCTCGAGTGTGCACGTACGCGCGCAGTCCTTCAGCTGCGCGGCCCGAGTGTGCGTACATCCTCCGCTCGCCCCTGTCGCGTCCAGGTCGGCGCAGTGGCGTCTGTTCAGGCGCGGGCGTCGCAGGCGTGGCGCGGGGCGGCACCAGCTAGCTCCGAGGCGGGGCAAGTCCCCATTCTCGGATTCGCTCGGTGCGCGCGCCGTCTGCAGCGAGTACCCCTATGCCGCATTAACGAGCGCAGCGCGGGTAACCCGGGCGCGGGAACGGCCGCAGTGCCGACGGTTCCTGCCCGCACAGTCCTCGGCACCCACACGCGCGGCACACTGCCATCCCCCTCTGCTCGCTCATCCGAGTCCCGTCTCCGTACACGCCCCCATGTCGTATGCACTTCTTTGAATAAATTTTACCTGTGAGCTTCGAAACTGGTTAGCGCGAGGAGACTTGAATCAGATTGAAGGAGGCCTTACCGAGACTTCGAGAATTCGAAGGGCTTGAAGACCGAGTACCCGGAACGGTATAGAAAGTCGGGTGGTAAGGACTTTAATCGAAGTTCAATTCGGGGGGAGAAGCTTACATCAGCAAAACCGGGGCTTGCTACGTAGCACTACGTAGTTCCTGTAGTTCCTGTAGTTCTGTAGAAAGGGTACCCCTTACGTAGTTCCATGTAGTTGGCCAGGGTTCTACGTAGTTCCATGTAGTTGGCCAGGGTTCTACGTAGTTCCCGGCCATTCTATGTAGTGCTATGTAGTTCCCCAGGTCTCTACGTAGTTCATGTAGTTCCCGGATGCCACCCAGTACCATTAGTTGCAATGAATTTTTCCTTCAGACGTATCATTCAGGGGATGTAAAGAAGATTTCGAAACCAATTGTATAGGATCGGGTATATTAATGCTATCCCGCTCTAATCTAAGGTCACCATACCCTCCGCGTTGGCGTTGGGCGTCCCCACTTCAATGGTGTGCTCCGCCTCCCACTGTGCCCATCGCGCCGTTGTCTTTCCCCAATGCTCCCGGTTACCTTTCAGCTTGGCAATGGATCGTAGGGCATCCTTGTACGTCTTGTGATAATTTTCTTCCGTGAACCGAACTTTCAGAAATTGTCCTGTGGCGTACTCTTGAAGGCCCACTTGAAGCTATAAGTGGATGAGCAAAAAAAGATGTAAGGAAGATGCGACTTCACAAAGAGAACAACAGCAGCCACAAGCTCGCCGGTGTACACCCCGAACTCTTCAGGCAGCGACTTTGCTAAGGAGTCCTCAGATTTGTGAGGCTTGTGAACGATCCGGAAAATGAGCTCGGATATGGCCGGATGCATCATGTTGTTCGTATGGCCCTACAATTCCTTAGCAAGATATTACAATTACTTGGAATCATACCTCAGCGTCAACGCCATGCTTGAGGAAGTTGTAGTCCTTCAGAAGCTTCTCAACGTTGTC